GATATTGCTAAATCACTCGGTTTGATTTGGGACAGGGATACTATTAAAATGCAGGGTTAAAGTAGTATTTTGAGTATTCAACCTTCCATTTTTGATCTCGATAACAGAAATGACAAAAGGAACAGTACTTAAAGGCTTACAATACCGCAAGAATTTCAAGCAAGCCTGCAAGACTTTGCTGATGAAGTCAATATAAAAAAATAAAATGCCATTACTTTTTCTTTATATTAGCAATTTGTATTTACAATATATTTCTTGGGATAGAATAGAAAATTAAATGAAGTAGTTAAAAAACAATTATTACACATACACAACATTGCAATAGTTCAGTTGAAAATGAATGTTGTCACATGCACTTCATTGATAAATTGATGGACAAGGCAAGGTGACCTTGCTGCATTGTTAAGTGATGTCATTGCCTAAATTTTTTTTGGAGTATCAAGTTCTATCCTTGATCTCAAAAAATATTAGACAGGAGGATCAAAGGAAAAACGTACAAATTTCAGATAAACTGGGGTATCATGATATGTCCTTAAGACAAGCAGAATATTATCCTATTGTTAGGGACATGCAGTCTAGTTTTAATTACAGTTTCCTTACAGTGGTTGTAAAAAAAATCTTCTCAACGTAAAAGTAAACTAGTTAGAAACATTTTACAATAAAATTTGATAAGAAATTTCGAGTATAAAAGTTTCAAACCTTATCAATAGGAGATGGTTTTATTACAATTTTCATACCTTTAGCTACTTGTATTTAAAATTCTCAAAGAACTTTAGAGTAGCTTTTATTATAATTCATCTCAACATAAAAAGATAAAAATTCAGTAAATATTTTAAATCATGTGTCCACATTGAGAAATAAATAAAGTTGTTGACACGTTTGTGACCCATAAGAAACATGAAGTAGCATATGTCAAGTCTGTATTAAGATAAATGTAGTTTTTATCCGTCTTTATGGTACTTCACTTTTTATTGTCAGATTAGATATTTTAATTAAGTTTGACTGCATTTGGATTTATAGCTTGAATATTTAATTTTGTTTTTCATGAGGTATATAGGTTTCCTTCAAAAATAATTTACACACATAGCTTTAAACTAGCCTCTCCAAGTACTTAGGCTTCCTCCACCAATAAAAACTGGCTGCTATGATTGCTGAAAGTGGCGTTAAACACCAACAATCAATCAATTAAACTAGCCACAGCAGAAGAAATGGTGAAGCTGTTGCATCCTGTATCATATATGATGGATAATATAAAAGTCAATAAAACAGGAAATTATTAACAAACTTCCCAAAATGTAAAAATGTATTTAACTGTGTTAATTTTAGATTTAGGAATTTAAAAGTATGTACATTTCTTTTAGTAAATTTCAATGTGATGATTTGCAGCATGTATATATACATTGCTAAGGCTGACAGAGAGAATGACAGATATTTGTTTGTTAGTGTATTTACAGATATAGGAGGACTATGATTGAATTACAGTTTTTCTTTTTATTGGATAAATTTGTCGTGTTTTAAATTTTATACTATGATACTTTAATATAAATATAAAAGTGAAAACCTAATAAAAATCCTCAGATTTAGTCCTATTTAAGTATGCTTAAAGTTATTGACTTTTATCTTATCTGAAGTATTCTGCAGTAAATATTATAAAAGTAGGACTACAATACTGGTTGTGTGCTATCATATGTGTGGGTCTAAAGGCAATGGTGTTTAAGATGATATTGACACCCTTGCTGAAGATGTCCACAACATTTGTGCATTTCACTTTTGAATGTATTTGTGTAGAGTGTAAACAAAACATTGTTTTTTTTCTTCTATAAAATGAATTGTAATCTTAATTCTGATATCATTTACCTCATAAATCAAGCTGGAGAACCAAGATTGAAATCCTTGGATTTGAGATATTTGAAAAACAAAAAAAAATACAAAGCAATAAACACCTCAGTTTATGACTTTATAAAAACACCAGAAAAGCCTGAAAATGGGAAAGAAATATAGTAAAAGGAGATAATTTTGATTCATCAATACTTGTGGGATACTAATTTTCATGGATTTCGTGGGTATAGGTGAAATACAAATTGTCATGGATTTCGTGGGTATAGGTGAAATACAAATTGTCATGGATTTCGTGGGTATAGGTGAAATACAAATTGTCATGGATTTCGTGGGTATAGGTGATATACAAATTGTCATGGATTTCGTGGGTATAGGTGAAATACAAATTGTCATGGATTTCGTGGGTATAGGTGAAATACAAATTGTCATGGATTTCGCGGGTAAAGGTGAAATACAAATTGTCATGGATTTCGTGGGTATAGATGAAATACAAATTGTCATGGATTTCGCAGGTATAGGTGAAATACAAATTGTCATGGATTTCGTGGGTATAGGTGAAATACAAATTGTCATGGATTTCGTGGGTATAGGTGAAATACAAATTGTCATGGATTTTGTGGGTATAGGTGAAATACAAATTGTCATGGATTTCGTGGGTATAGGAGAAATACAAATTTCAATGTTCAACAAAGAACAAATTTTTTGTAAGCTTTTATGCTGATCTTGGTAAAACCATGACATCAAATATCAAGGAAAATATACAATTTTTCCTCATTCCATGAAAATTGGTACACTGGAAAATAAATTAATCCACAGTATAGGGTAAACACCAATTCAACAGCAACCTAACAACACAGACAAGAAAAAAACATGATGCAGTGTTTCAACAGTTGTTCAAACAGAGTATTATTTAGATTAAGAGTTTATTAAGAAATCTAGAAAATGGAAAGGTTTAGATCATGCGATGTTACTCCAGTGTTGTCATTACTTTTATTCTGAAAAAAGGCTTTCCTTTGACAACACACACTCTACTGTGACCATGTGTGTATGGAAACACTACTGTGATCATACATGTATGTATGATTACACCACTGTGACTATGCATGTATGGGAACACTACTGTGATCATGCATGTATGGTTACACCACTGTGATTATACATGTATGGTCACACCACTGTGATCATGTATGTATGGTTACACCACTGTGATCATGTATGTATGGTCACACCTCTGTGATCAAGTATGTATGGTCACACCACTGTGATCATGTATGTATGGTTACACCACTGTGATCATGTATGTATAGTCACACCACTGTGACCATGCATGTATGGTCACACCACTGTGATCATGTATGTATGGTCACACCTCTGTGATCAAGTATGTATGGTCACACCACTGTGATCATGTATGTATGGTCACACCAATGTGACCATGCATGTATGGTCACACCACTGTGATCATGTATGTATGGTCACACCACTGTGATCATGCATGTATGGTCACACCACTGTTGTCATACAAGTATGGTCACACCACTGTGACGTGATCTGTTTTTATAATTTTAGCCTGAAATCATTATGAAAACATAACCTATCAATATTATTGAAAAAAAGAAGTTTAGAATAAAGATAATCCAGTGTGATGACCTTTCTGGCAAAATGTCATCTAGTTTTAACAAAAAAATTAACTAAAGAAAACAACTATGTGCATTTTTTTGTCAGGTAATTCATTTATCTGTCTCTGATCTGTATGAGAAATCTGTATAAATGGTATCATTTATATTTTAGCAATCCAACTTATTTGACAATGCAAGGAAATAACTGAAATTTATTTTTGTCACTGGGACATTAAAAAGTAGTATTACTGGGATCAGATAAACCCCCAAGTAGCTTTTGTCATTGTAAATTGTCTGGTTTGAAATTGTTGAGAGCTATAATCCATTCGTGTTGGTATTTTAATATTAAACAATTCAGATTTAAAGAATTTGATCAAAAGTTTTGTTTGAACCTCATTCATCAATTTTTCATATGGTGAGTTTTTGTGCAAACTTTTCAACACTTTGAAGTGGTTTTTTTTCCCCTATACTCCTTATAATGAATAGAGGTTTTCAACAGCTAATCTTTTAGTTTATAAAATGTTATACCGTACTCTCAATGGCTTACTGGTATGTCTTTTTTTTAGCATATTGCTAAATTACTACATCATTTAACAAAATAGTAATGTGATTCTCTACAAGGTGATTTCCTAGTCTGTCTTTGTAGCTATTTGTTTCTGAAATAACTTTTATTATATTACACTAGTTACCAGAAAATTTAGATCTAACAAGCTTTTTTCTCTGAAACTACTAATGTAATTATTTTCTTAACAATTTTTTCTAATTTTCCTGTTATTTTTTGTTATATTCTTAAAATTTCAAAACACCCAGAATTATAAAAAAAGAAAGAGCTACATCGTAAATATTTTAATAACTGTGAGTTTCTGTGTTTATCCAATAATAATTTTTTTGTGAATTGAAGGAAAACTTCAGTCATGTACATTAACTATGAATTAGTGAATTGTGAATAAATTTTTTAAGTTTAGCCTTTATTTCATAAAATCATATTTTGAATTATAAGATGTTATGTTAAAAAACATAAAAATAACACTATATGTCTATACAATGATGTTATTCACTGAATGTCATTAACCTGTAGTCTAAATAACTAAGGAACATGAATGATGAATTATTTGGCCAACTTTTATTGTATTCACACACCACATTTTTCCTTCACTATACATAAAAGTTTGGTCATATGAAAGAGAAAAAAATATTGATTCATTTATGAATAGTGTAAATCTTTTAATGAAATCTGTAGAAAGGTGAAATCTATAGCAGGATTGAAAAAATTGTAATATAACTGTACATAATGGATTCTTTTAAAAGAAAATCCATTTAATTTCTTTTGATTTGGCGGTAAATGAGGCGAAGTTTACAAGCTCCCTATCAACCTGTGTTATGGCCCACAATTCTCTGTATTGACAAATATTTCTTTGATGGTCAGATTATACATAACCACTGTAATGATAATATTTATTCAAGGAATATCAGCAGTTGTTTATTAACTACATCGATAGAAACTTGTAATTTCACTACTTATGATGCGTTTAATATATTTAGTACAGATTTGAACTGACCAATGGAATTTAAGAGGAGAGGGCAATCCTGAATGTTGTGGGCAGTAATAAGGAATGTAAAACTTTCATACATGTTTGGAATAAAGGATGTAGTAAAAAAAAGTTGGTAGGTTTTTATCAAGAATTTACTGTCATATTTATACTTAATCAAGTTTGAATTGGTCCTTTTATGCTTTCAATTTTCATTTAATAATATTTGTTTAAAGAAAAAAATGATATAGGATAAGTAATATAAGATATTTGGAAAACAATGTAGCTACATTTTTAATGTAACAACAAACAAAAAATAAATGTAAACTGTTATGCCATACCTGAATAGCTTTAAAAGTATTGTTTCTGTAAACTTATTTTGTTATATTAAATGAATTCAAGACTTAATGATATGAAATGATAATTGTGTCTCAAATTATTATTTCATCTATAACTGTAGATAATTCTTTTCAATTATTTTTACTTGATTGTGTTTGCTTGGTTCAATTTTATCACAGTATAAATTATTTAAGGTGTTCTTGACTTGTTTTTACATCGCGATGACCTTGGGGTCATTCAGATGTATTGCTATCGCCTAGATTTCCATTATGTAAATTAGTTTTGGGTTTGTAACCGATCTATAAACATGATAAATATGCGCACATAAACGAATGCAAAATAACATTCCTTATCGTTTGATATAAATACATCTCTTCAATGAATACTGATAAAAATATTTTTGTTTACAACATAAATTAATAATATGAAAATGTTTTGTAGTTAGATATATATATATATAAGTAAAAAATCATTGATAATATCAATGCAGACGTACCGAAAAATTGTGTTAAAGCATGCGGAAGAATATCTCAGAGAACTTTTTGCGAGGACCGGTAACTCTGTAATTGTTTTTGCGGGAAAATATGAATGCCTACTCGTATCCAATCTTAGAAAAATCGAATTTTTACAGAAAAGTGTCCACCATGTATACTGATTTGTATCACTACAATATAATAGTTATTACGGTGAAGTTGAATTTCCTGTCATTTATTCATCATCCACGCACGAACTTGTCTCAGAAAAAAATATATCTCTGCACATTAACCTCAGTTTCAGGTAAAGAGATATGTTGTTTTTTTCTGAGACAAGTGCTTTTGACCATCCTCAAGAACTTGTGGTCATCCGATGTTCAGTACTTCAGTACTTTGATTTTTTCATCATTGTAATTGATGTGGGTCTGCTTGATTTGGTCTTTTTCATCATGTTATTACTTTTATGTTATTAAATGTTGAACAGTTTATAATAATCTTCAATGAGAAAAGGTTTAGTTATACAAAAACAGTTTTTATTCAACAAACCAATATATTCTTTTATTTCCAAAAGCTAACATGAAATAAGAAGTTAATTGTTTTATCAACTGATGATATACCAGCTGATCTGAAATAGACTGGTCCACTATAAATGTTTAACTTTACCATTATTTTTTACAAACTAACATTAAATCAAATAAGTTAATTGTTTTATCCACCCCATATTCTTTTATTTCTAAATGATAATATGAAATAAGAGATGTTAATTGTTTTATAATCTGATAATATACCAGCTGATTTGGGGAAAAAATGGTATTATTATTTGTTTTAATATAAAAATAAGGAGATGTGGTATGATTGCCAATGAGACAACTATCGACTTGAGTTGTAAGCAATTATAGGTTTTTCTTCACCGTTAACTTCTACAAGCTAATGTGAAATTAAAGTAGTTTTTTTGTTTTTCATAAAATGCTCTGATCAGATCATGGACAGATGAAATATTGAATAAATGAAAAACTAAGCTAATCATAGATAAATAATATGCCCACAGAATTACCTTTAAACAAATATGTTATGAACATTTGGCTAGAAATTCCAGCACCCAAAAACATCTTAATAAAAAAATTTGAAAAATAATATTCTTAGACTATGTGATTGCTTTATAGAGACAACCTTTATTATAAGATAATTGCTTTATTTTAAGATTATTGGAAGGTTCATTAATTTGACTTTTAATCTAAGATTGATTGATTGTTGTTTGTTTTTTGTCCTGTGGAAAGTAGTTCATTCATATTCTGGATGAGAATAAAGAAATTATAATCTAAATTAATAATGTAGATAATGACAGAGACTGTCCATTTATCTTCTATATTCAATAATTATTTAAATTTATCTCAACTCATATGTTTTTATCACATATAAGCTGTTTCTTGTAAGGATAACTGTGAAAAACTTTGATTAACATTTTTGTCAAATTTTAGAACTGTATGAGTTCTGGGAACATTGTGTTATGCTATTATCTGTAGATAGAGTCAATGGTGTGTAAGTTATCAGAAATGTTGCCCTATTTAGTCCATATGATTTACATTTTTTTATTAAATATTTTGTTAAAAGTAAAATTATACATTCAAAAACATTATAATGGAGTAATTTTTGGTTAAACTTACATCAAATTAGTGCAAAATGATAATCTACAGTTTATTTGTTTTGTAATAACTTTGTGTCTATTAACTACAATCCTTCCTAGGAATTTTTTATGTTTTTGTATATGAATTAATGTGTATTTGTTAGGTGTTTTCCATTGAAATGATATATATATACATTCATATTTTACATTCTTTTATATAAAACAAGGTGTTTTTATATGTTTAAACCACTGAATGTCTCTGATTAAACTTTATGTATGTAGAAAAGTTTCCCACCATTTTTCATCTTCAGTGACAACATAATTGTAACTTGTAGGATGACACCGCAGAGTTCAGACTCAGTTATTTTATAAAAGTATTGAATTTTAAATTGACCTGAGATTTGACGGTCCATGGAACAATAATTGGACTAGTTACATAGAAAAACACCCTGGAGCTACTTTTGTCGATGGAAACTTTACAAATTAGTAGGTATCGACCCTGGTATTATCCTTAATACAAATAACATTGTCATTAAAAGAGACATTGTATATGGCTATTACTATTTTTTCTACATGATTTGATTGGACACAAATGTTTACTATGATAATCGGTAGAATGTCGACAAATTGACAGATTAAAATTTCATCAGTACAAAACAATTGTTATTGTAGAGCTCTTTGTAAGGGGCACATCTAGTAAAAGGAAACTTTTCATGTGGAATAGCGGATTTGACTCCAGGTATGCGGAAAATTCATATACAAAATATCAAGTTTAAATTTAAAGTTTTCTATTATGTTATTTTCATATTAAAATTATTAATGACACGGAAAAAAAACAGCTCAAGGGATTAAAAAATAATTTAAATAATTTAAAACCATCCCTTTATTTATTTGAAGTCATGACTAAATTAACACTATTTATAAATGTTTCATACTAGACTGTTTATATTCTATAAATTGAAACTTTCAACTAGATGTATTGCATGTGATTGTATAAGATTCACAGTTTTTAATTGTCTTATATATGATGCTGACTGGTACTTTTATCTGTTCATCCAATTAGTTATAAAGATAAATTTTGAAGTAAAGTTATCAAAACACCAAAAAATTACCACAAAAAAAAATAAAATAATGATTTCTTTTTAAAATATATGTTCATTGTGAAAGTAAAAATTAAGAGAATGATTTTTAATCAATAGATATGTTCATTGTGAAAGTATTGAATATTTGTCTTGAGAGTCTTTTTTTGCATGCCATTATCTGAATCAGTCACTAAATCTTCATGTTTGATGATTGATAACATTGACTCTCAAAAACACTGATTTTCTTTATGTTCATCTTTTCTTCACAATAATATAAGTACAAGAATCATGCAACAAAATGGAGAAAAAGGGCTTATTAGCTCATCAACTTACCATAAAGAAAAAGTTATATGACACTTTTTCTAGAGTACATAAAAGCGCACACTAAAAAAGCCGCAAAAAATTGTAACCTTTGGAATTGTTATCGCGCACTAAAACCCCCATGGTCTTTTCAAAAGTTGGCAGGCATGCTTGTTAACTTTGCTACATACTGAATGTGCTTGCCCCAAGCCTGAATTCAGTTCTTTTTAATTTCAAGCAGTATATGCATCAACCTTTTGTAATGAGTTGATTTACTTTCTTTAATTTCAGCACCTTTGTAATTACCTGCAATAGGTCATTTATATATTAATTTTATTATATTAAATCGGAAAACATGTATCATATTTGCATAGATATTAATAATTTATTAACTGTCATGTCTTACTAAATTTGAAGTAATTACATATTTCAATATAAAGTTTTCTCATCAGGCAAACTTTAGAAGTACTGATCAACTTGTGAAAAAGTTTTAGCCCAATGGTAGTTAACAGATGTTAGTAAGAAGCAAGTGCAGTGTAATAAAAAATATTTTTACTATCCAAATCAAGTAAATGACTTCTGTTTTGAATGAATTCAAACTGAAATTTGTTAAAACATTTTAGCAAATTGGTATTGAAAAAGGAAAAAGACATTCAAATATGCACAGCAAAAAGAGATATCCACTCACACATACATGTAGTTATATGGTAATTTATCTATTAGTTGGTTTTTGAAAAATTTCAAGTATGCAGGTTTACTAAGGCATTCATGTCTTGTGATAAGAGTATTTGCTTATTGTTGAAGGCTGTGCAGTGACCTTTAAATGTATACATATTTACATTCTCATCTTTTATGGACAGATGTCTCATTGACAATCAGAAATTTTATTTTTCTACAAATATCACAAGCTACCCTTCACATAAACACATGTGTTGAACTATTTACATCTTAAGGATACACTGCAGTTGATATATTTCTGGGTCTGTAGTGTTTACATATTATTTTGAATGTTTACAGGCAGTTTTTATTAATCATTGTAAGGCCCAAGAGTTGTCATCAACAAAATATGTCAGAAAAATGTGCAAATTTAATTTTAAATATGTAAGAATTTTGTACCTATTTGGCATGCTCACTTGTCAGCTGTCATGTTATATGTGATAACTTTATGTCTTTTTCACTCATTAAGGTTTTAATCATGTTTTATTGAAATAATTAACAACCAAGCTCTCTGTTCATTAACTCATCATGACATATTAAATTTGTACTATAAAGTGTTAATTATATGAGAGTTTAATATTTCATCATATTATTTGAGGGATAAG